AGACAGACAGCTGTCCAGTCAGATAGGAGAGAGAGAGTGGACAGGAGCCACTCCAGATGTGTCTGTGATGCCATCTAACGGACAAAGGCTGCTACTGTATGCACCGGAGGATCAGTAGGGAAACATTTCACGTTAAGGTTTGCTTATGACACAAAGTAGAACAAAATTTGAGAAACAAATTAGATTTAATTTATCTAAATCCTCCCAAATAGCAACTGAGCAGTCAAGGCATTTTCAGGGTATGTTACTTGATACTGAGGAAGAGCAGGGTAATTGACTAGACTAAGCTATAATTAAGTAGATGTGGTTTATGATAAGGTAAATAAATTATCGTTAGGCATCTTTCAAATGCCTAAATAATGAGGGCACCAAATGAGCATGTACCAAAGTTGCAGAAAGCCGAGGAAAAAAAACAGCACCAGTTGAGTAAGGAACACTTTCATTAATCTAGCTAAATTTATCTTTAAGCATTTCAATTATGCAATAGAGAGGGGCTAAGACAGTGCCCTAAATTACTGCAGCACCACAGGAATCGCATTTGATGCTCTCCATAAAGACAAATCCATGTCTTTCATGCACAATAGCTCATATTCCCAGTTCTCCCCAAAAAAGAACAGATTTCATGGCAATCTGTAGAAGTCTATTTCAAAGACAAGAAGGGAATCATATAATATATATTATTATGGAGCTCAGCACCAAATCAAGGCTCAAGATAATTGCTGCGTAGTGCAGCATTCTTGTTTGAGGAAATTAAACACTTTCTCTCCATAAGATGAATTAGTTTGACATTGAAATGGGAGAGTGGTGTTGTTTCAGTCCAGCACACACAGGAATAGGCTAAGCAGAACCACTGATCCACTGCATGGGTTTCAGTCAACAGCTTACCCAGGGTAGGATAGATACTTACGGAAATCCCAAGAGTCTGCAGCAAAATGTATCAAATTAAGACACCTACACTTTGCAAAACTGTTTTTTTCCAAGAGCATGGCTCTTACAAAAGGCTTACAGAGCTTGCCTTAGTTCTTCAGTTGTAAAAAGCTCTGGGTTTTCTATGCTTGCAAGATTAATACATTCACATAAAAAGGCCTCTTCATTTGTGGAAAGATCGGTTGCATCCCAAATGGAATCCTATTCCCTATTGAGTGCACTACTTTCGACCAGAGCCCTATGGGGCACTATATATGGAACAGGGTGAAATTTAGGATGCAGACTGCTGAAAGCATGGCTCTCTGATGATCAACATCCTTCTCTCCTGAGTACTGAAAGTATTCAACAAGCACTGATGTGCTAGGCCTAAATCATTCACTACTAACCTAGTTTTAAATCAACATATTGCTCCGTACTACTTGAAAAGCAAAAATACATTTCTGTTCTCAGTACAACATTTTACTTCCTTACAATATGTGAGAGTCTATTCCATCCTTAGACCGTAACCATCATGTAGGGCTGGGAATTGCCAGGGACCTCACGATATGATTGCGATATGTATTGCGATTCTATATTGCAATTCAATTCTGCGATTTTTTTCTGCGATTTGAGGTCCCAAATATATTGCTCAATATATGTCTGCTGCAGAGAGACAAGAGAGCATGAGAAACTTAGTTTTGATCAGTCAGCTAAATAAAAAAAAAAAGTGCTAAAAATATGTTGGCTCACTATTTAAAAAGATGGAGAACAAACTACGAAGTTTTGGTGCAGGTACAGCTGACTAGCGGTAGCTAACACTACCTACAGTAGCAACAAATAAAAACGATACTTTGAGTCAATGGATATACAGTGGGGAGAACAAGTATTTGATAACCTGCAAAATCGGCAGTGTTTCCTACTTACAAAGCATGTAGAGGTCTGTAATTTTTATCATAGGTGCACTTCAACTGTAAGAGACGGAATCTAAAACAAAAATCCAGAAAACCACATTGTTTGATTTTTAAGTAATTCATTTCCATTTTATTGCATGACATAAGTATTTGATACATCAGAAAAGCAGAACTTAATATTTGGTACAGAAACCTTTGTTTGCAATTACAGAGATCATACGTTTCCTGTAGGTCTTGACCAGGTTTGCACACACTACAGCAGGGATTTTGGCCCACTCCTCCATACAGACCTTCTCCAGATCCTTCAGGTTTCGGGGCTGTCGCTGGGCAATACGGACTTTCAGCTCCCTCCAAAGATTTTCTATTGGGTTCAGGTCTGGAGACTGGCTAGGCCACTTCAGGACCTTGAGATGCTTCTTACGGAGCCACTCCTTAGTTGCCCTGGCTGTGTGTTTCGGGTCGTTGTCATGCTGGAAGACCCAGCCACGACCCATCTTCAATGCTCTTACTGAGGGAAGGAGGTTGTTGGCCAAGATCTCGCGATACATGGCCCCATCCATCCTCCCCTCAATACGGTGCAGTCGTCCTGTCCCCTTTGCAGAAAAGCATCCCCAAAGAATGATGTTTCCACCTCCATGCTTCACGGTTGGGATGGTGTTCTTGGGGTTGTACTCATCTTTCTTCCTCCAAACACGGCGAGTGGAGTTTAGACCAAAAAGCTCTATTTTTGTCTCATCAGACCACATGACCTTCTCCCATTCCTCCTCTGGATCATCCAGATGGTCATTGGCAAACTTCAGACAGGCCTGGACATGCGCTGGCTTGAGCAGGGGGACCTTGCGCGCGCTGCAGGATTTTAATCCATGACGGCGTAGTGTGTTACTAATGGTTTTCTTTGAGACTGTGGTCCCAGCTCTCTTCAGGTCATTGACCAGTTCCTGCCGTGTAGTTCTGGGCTGATCCCTCACCTTCCTCATGATCATTGATGCCCCACGAGGTGAGATCTTGCATGGAGCCCAAGACCGAGGATGATTGACCGTCATCTTGAACTTCTTCCATTTTCTAATAATTGCGCCAACAGTTGTGGCCTTCTCACCAAGCTGCTTGCCTATTGTCCTGTAGCCCATCCCAGCCTTGTGCAGGTCTACAATTTTATCCCTGATGTCCTTACACAGCTCTCTGGTCTTGGCCATTGTGGAGAGGTTGGAGTCTGTTTGATTGAGTGTGTGGACAGGTGTCTTTTATACAGGTAACGAGTTCAAACAGGTGCAGTTAATACAGGTAATGAGTGGAGAACAGGAGGGCTTCTTAAAGAAAAACTAACAGGTCTGTGAGAGCCGGAATTCTTACTGGTTGGTAGGTGATCAAATACTTTTGTCATGCAATAAAATGCAAATTAATTACTTAAAAATCATACAATGTGATTTTCTGGATTTTTGTTTTAGATTCCATCTCTCACAGTTGAAGTGTACCGATGATAAAAATGACAGACCTCTACATGCTTTGTAAGTAGGAAAACCTGCAAAATCGTCAGTGTATCAAATACTTGTTCTCCCCACTGTATACTTAACAAAAATTTAAAATGCAACATTCAACAATTTTTAAGATTTTACTGAGTTACAGTTCATAGAAGGAAATCAGTCAATAAGTGGGTGGGCCTGGGAGGGCATAGCCCCACCCATTGGGGAGCCAGGCCCAACCAATCAGAATTACTTTTTCCACACAAAAGGGCTTTATTACAGGCTGAAATACTACTCAGCACCCCCACCTCAGACAATGTGGAGGTCCTGGGCTGGCGCGGTTACACATGGTCTGCGTTTGTGAGGCCGGTCTGATGTACTGCCAAATTCTCTAAAACGATCTTAGAGGCGGCTTATGGTCGTGGAATGAACATTACATTCTCTGGCAACAGCTCTGTTTGACATTCCTGTAGTCAGTATGCCAATTGCACGCTCCCTCAAAACCTGAGACATCTGTGGCATTGTGTTGTGTGACAAAACTGCACATTTTAGAGTGGCCTTTTGTCCCCAGCACAAGGTGCACTTGTGTAATGATCATGCTGTTTAATCAGCTTCTTGATATACCACACCTGTCAGCAGGATGGATTATCTTGGCAAAGGAGAAATACTCACTAACAGGGATGTAAACAAAGTTGAAAAATAAAAAAATGGGACCAATACTTTACATGTTGCGTATATATTTTTGTTCAATATAATATTGTCCAAAAACAATATCATAACATGTAGCCTAATGTGCTGGTTGGGTCACTGCCACACGCAGTACAGAAGTGTTATATAGGACTTAGTCCACCACTGTCTGAGAGACTAATGGCTGAGGTCAGGACTCATATCAGCAACCTCTGAACTGTTCGCTTAATTGATGGATGCCTGCGAACCTGCAGTGGCCCACTGGCCCTTGAGGACCTGCATCATCCCAACGGCAGCTAGGCTCTGCACTGGAAAACACAACACCGGCTCCTTATCTCTGGCTGTCCATGTGAGAAGTGACTGGAGTGTCTACGTCCCAAATGTCACTCTATTCCCTATGCAGTACACTACCTTTCGACCAGGGCCCATAAGGTTCTGGTCAAAAGTAGTGCACTATATAGGGAATAGGGTGACATTTGAGACACATCCGAGAAAGTGAAGGAAGCTCAGAGGGCAGGAAGTGGAACACCTGCGTTGTTGAAGTGAGCAGGCGGAAACATTGGAGATCCTGCGAAGTCTCTCCACTACATCCACATCATTATCCAATGCCATATTGGTAAACAAGCTATACAATTTAATGCAAAATGCTTGAGACAAGCTACCACTCAGACAATGGTAGAGAATGATCTTGAATAGGAAGCATGTAATACTACTACCACATTATGTTTGGGGAATAACCTCTTTGTAAATGGCCAAATATCATTCAAATACTCAACTAGTCCTAATTCTGTATAGCTCAGTCCATTAATGTTTGTAGGACAGGGTGTTTAGCATATTATAAAAACAAATATTACAGACAAAAACCATTTCCAAGAAATGTCAGATACAGTGACCCGACAACAACCTTTCAAAGGGTAGTCGTGAGGGAGAGATAAAGCTGTGATCAGAAAATCGCCACAGCCCAGACACCCAGTGAAGTAGCAGATATCAGCATATTTTGTTGACTTGCCACCCCTCTCTCCCTCCCGCTATGTAGTCACATTTCACTGCTCTCATTATGCAGATCAAGCCTTCTGATCCGCTCAAAAATAATTACAGCGGCCCAACGTTTTTTCAAGGCACAGGGAAGTGGAATTTGAGCACGTCAAGACACACAAGACGTGCCAAAATATAAATTGGAATTGTTATTGGGTCTCCTTCCCTTTCATTCTTCAGCCTCCTTTCATCTTATTTCCCTGTGGAGTGTGGGGCCGGTGTTGCTGTTGGAAGGTAAATAAAATAGCACATTGGGTGAGAATCGATTGAATCTCCACTTTTGAGACATTTTGCCTTCAATGTCTGACTGGGAGGCCAGGCCTGGTCTGTTGTGTTGTCTGCTGTCAGAGTGGAGCAGGAGGGGAGAAGGAGGTGGTGGAGAGGAGGGAATGTAGAAGATGGAGGGACAGATCAATCAATGTGCCAGAGAGCTGAGGTGAAGGTTAAATAGGAGCAATGGCTGTCCCTTCAGTCCCTGTGAACACCCCACCTCCTCCATCAATCCCCCCTTCCTTCCACCATATACATTTAGCCGACTGCCTTTCCAACCCTGCTTCTACCCATTGAATTACAAGATTCCAATTTTATGCTTCTACCCGGCCATTGACAAGACACGGCTTTGACATCTACTTAAAAAATGAAACTGCTGCCTAGCTTCCCAACTAGATATGGGATTGGAAAAGGAGAGTATTTATTTTGGGATATGGAACACAGTGAATAACATTATTTAGGTAATGAATAACGGGAATTGTCAAGAGAACGCAAAGAAAAGATTAAAGCATGAGTCATAGTAAAGGTTTTCCCATTGTTTTGCTGGAGCAGCCAATAGGGGGTCTTCAAGGGATAACACAGGGGCTTGTTCCTCTGTGATAGTGTCTGCCATGTGGATGTGCTACCAACTACCTCTTTCCCTAAATAACTACTCTCACATACAAATTAACTAACTGGGCCTATATTCACTATGTATTTGTTCCAATAAAATATAGGCTTTAGGGTTACTTCCAAATATTTTTTCAATTTAGTCATTGCCATTAATATGAAATAAAATATTTATGTTCTGCCCCGTCAACGTGATTAAAACACAAATGCTCCCATCACCACAATCAAAGACACATTTGTTCACGTCACTTCTGGTCTCGAATGCACCCGTTATTTGTGGCATCTTTTGAAGGGCAGATTAGAAGAAGAACAAATGCATTTTCTTCAGATTAAGAATGATTTGCATTCATATGTAAAGCTTCATTGAAGTAACCCCCCTACATCTTCACTAATGAAGGTAGGCTAATCTTGATGATACAAGCCGGAGCACGCACCCTCTCAGAGTTTGGGGATCTGATATTTAACATTCAAATTCCTTTAAACCCTTTAGAATTTTCTCAACAGTGGAGCAGAGGATGTGAGAGAGTCGCGGCAGGTCTTCTAAACAAAAATATGACCCAATAGTGGATCCATACATACCGAGGCTGTTCTTACATTTACATTAACGTCATTTAGCAGACGCTCTTATCCAGAGCGACTTACAGTTAGTGAATACATATTTTTTTATACTGGCCCCCTGTGGGAATCGAACCCACAACCCTGGCGTTGCAAACGCCATGCTCTATCAACTAAGTTACATCCCTGCCGGCCATTCCCTCCCCTACCCTGGACGACGCTGGGCCAATTGTGCGCCGCCCATGAGTCTCCCGGTCGCGGCCGGCTGCGACAGAGCCTGGATTCGAACCAGGATCTAGTGGCACAGTTAGCACTGCGATGCAGTGCCTTAGACCACTGCGCCACTCAGGACACCTACCTTCTTGTATAACACACAGTCACAGAGGCCTTTAGCACCTAAAGCTATTTGGCACAAGATGAGACACTTACCAGCCCCGCAGCTTGTATGCCTCAGGGATGTCGGGGTTGATCATGACGGTGCTGCTGAACGAAGCAGACAGAGATCTGCCCCCATAGTCCGACAGCTTGGCCCCTTTGATGGCCAAGATGGGCTGCCCAGAGCCATCAAAGTTCTCTGCCTGCAAATAGAACAGGTAGGTTGACTGAGGATACCAACGATATACACTTTATGTGCAAAACTACACAAATTAGTGGATTTGGCTATTTCAGCAACATCCATTGCTGACAGGTGTATAAAATTGAGCACACAGCCATGCAATCTCCATAAACAAACATTGGCAGTAGAATGGCTTTACCGAAGAGCTCAGTGACTTTCAATGTGGCACCGTCATAGGATGCCACCTTTTCAACAAGTCAGTTCGTCAAACTTTCTGCCCTGGTCAACTGTAAGTGCTGTTACTGTGAAGTGGAAACGTCTAGGAGCAACAACGCTCAGCCGAGAAGTGGTAGGCCACACAAGCTCACAGAACAGGACCGCTGAATGCTGAAGCGTGTAAAAATCGTCTGTCCTCGGGTGCAACACTCACTACTGAGTTCCAAACTGCCTCTGGAAGCTACGTCAGCACAATAATTGTTTGTCGGGAGCTTCATGAAATGGGTTTCCATTGCCGAGCTGCCGCATACAAGCCTAAGATCACCATGCACAATGCCAAGGGTTGGCTGGAGTGGTGTAAAGCTCGCCACCATTGGACTCTAGAGCAGTGAAAACGTGATCTCTGGAGTTATAAATCACGCATCTCCATCTAGCAGTCCAACGGACGAATCTGGGTTTTGAGGATACCAGGAGAACGCTACCTGTCCCAATGCATAGTGCCAACTGTAAAGTTTGGTGGGGGAAGAATAATAGTCTGGGGATGTTTTTCATGGTTCGGGCTAGGCCCCTTAGTTCCAGTGAAGGGGAATCTTAACGTTACAGCATACAATGACATTCTAGATGATTCTGTGCTTCCAACTATGTTGCAACAGTTTGGGGAAGGCCCTTTCCTGTTTTAGCATGACAATGCCCCCGTGCACAAAGCAAGCTCGAGTGAGGTCGGGCACTGATGTTGGGCAATTAGGCCTGGCTCGCAGTAGGCATTCCAATTCATCCCAAAGGTGTTTGGTGTGGAAGAACTTGACTGGCCTGCACAGAGCCCTGAACTCAACCCCATCGAACACCTTTGGGATGAATTAGAATTCCTACTGCGAGCCAGGCCTAATCGCCCAACATCAGTGCCCGACGTCACTCATGCTCATGGCTGAATGGAAGCAAGTCCCCGCAGTAATGTTCCAACATTTAGTGGAAAGCCTTCCCAGAAGAGTAGGGCAGCAAAGGAGGGACCAACTCCATATTAATCCCCATGATTTTGGAATGAGATGTTTGACGAGCAGGTGTCCACATACATTTGGCCATGTACTGTATCAGCACTGGGGGAGAAGAAAAAAAGTGGAAAAAATATTCATGCAATTCTGTATTTACTAAAGCTTATTGCTCTTTATAAACGATACGTTGTGTACCTCTGCAAGTCCCCCTGGATAGGGGATATCTGCAGAACAAACAATGAGGGAACATTGTGCTGTAGCTTGCCAGAATGAAAGAAATGGTGGCAAACTAAGCATAGCCCTACTGAGCCACGTATAAAATCAACTGCAGGAGCTGGGTTCCTTCATCACACTGTGACAGGGTATTCTCGGGGACTTCAACAACATCAGCTTCTATTAAAAACAGAGAGAGAGAGCCCACTGCTCAAATTTCCTCTCCCTCTTCAAACTGCTTCATTTCCAACCACAGGGAGGCACACCGCTCTCAACACCTTTTCAATTAGGAGAGAGAGGTGTACTGTACCCTGCCTGGGGCACTGGCTGACAGGACACAGGACACCCAAACGTAATGCAGGTGTGTACAGCACATAATGAAGGTGCTACAGCATGTCACCCAGCATGAGAGAAACTGAGTTTCATCCTCTCTTTATCCAGCAGGACTGTCCCCTTGTGTCCAGATGCATATAGACAGTCTATATGGCTGTGCTGGTGTCTGTCCCCCAGTCCTCACCTCCTCTCCCCACAGGGTGACCTCCACCAGTTTACCAGACTGGTCCATCAGGTTGAGCGTCCTCTTGGAGACCTCACGGTTGTTCTTGGTGGTGAGGCGGGTCACGTCGGTCACGCTCTTACACACTCCAATCACATCTGGAAAACACACATGGTCACTTCATTAGCACAGTAGACGATGAGCAGCATTACTGTGGAGAACCTTGAGTGACCTAGGAGAATCAGACACGTGATCAATATTTATAATATGTATATGTGGAAATGTCCATCGATAGTTGAAGTTATTTTCAACACAGGTGACATCATGAGCACAGTAGACTATGGTTGTGTTTGAGATCGAATTCCACTAATTTGCATGCGGACCCTGCAGACTAACTGATCTAAAAATAACTTTACGTCCTAAATAATTATCCTCACGGGGCAGCAGGTAGCCTAGCGGTTAAGAGCATTGGGCCAGTAACCGAAAGGTCGCTGGTTTGATAGCCCGAGCCGACTGGGTGAAAAATCTGTCGATGTGCCCTTGAGCAAGGCACTTAACCCTAATTGCTCCTGTAAGTCACTCTGGATGAGAGCTAAAATTGTAATAATTATTTATTTATAGATCAGTCAGTGTGATGCTCTCTAACACAGCCTCTCATCAGTCTCTCCCAGCCTGACGGATGTAGGCTATACTTTGTTTATATTATCACTGTCTGAAGAAAACCTTGAGACTCCATTTTTTTATATGAATGAAAGCAGTCAACCTACCTTTATGTAGTCTAAACAGTTCCGTTTTTTTTTTTTCATTTCCTGAAAAGGTTCCGTTTTGGAACTTGGGAGGATTGTTTGCACTGGGATGGACTACTAGTCCCTGAAAAGACCTTGACCAACTATCTATGGAATAAGTCACACAGAGACAAACACCCATTCCCATTATAAATAAGTCACACATTTCCACATATACATACAGTATTATAAATATTGATAATGTGCGTGAGTCATTCAAGGTCCCATAGTTCTCCACAACACATTCACTCAGGGGAAATCAGGCACTCAATATTATCCTGTTCAGATCAAGTATGAGGTCACTGCCTACCCATCATCTCCTGGTCACATGGCACATGCACTACTAATGTTTATCATGAAGTATGTATAGGAATGGAAAAATAAAATAAAACAACATGGATGTTGCTGCTAATGTAATTTATCCTGAGTACAGATTCATGTTAACCTGCTTCTATCAAGGGGAGCTGATGCATGGCCATTTATCCCTGCAAGGGGGCCAAAGCTAATGAGACGTATCAGCGACATTACAGTTGTATAGCTGCATCCCAAATGGTACCCTATAACAGTGCACCACTTTTGACCAGGGCCCTCTGATCAAAAGTAGTGCACTATTTAGGGAATAGGGTGTCATTTGGGAGCAACATAGACTCTCTGCCATCTTGAAACCCTTTCTTCCAGTCTTTGTTAGGTTACAACTCATTTAAGCATGATTAAGAAGATGTCTTCAACATCACGGGGCTGGCTGGGCTGACGCCTGCTGGTCCTGAAGACAAATGACTCCACAGCTACACTACAAGCTGCACTGAGTCTATTACCATCATACAACTGGGAATAAGTACCAAATGGCATCCTATTCCCTACATAGTGCACTACTTTTAACCGGAGCATATAGGCCCTGGTCAAAAGGAGTGCACTATATAGGGAATAGAGTGCCATTTGGGACGCTGACTATGGCTTTTTATTACCGACCCAATTTACCAGTGAGTGTTTTCACCCTCCTCACCGGGCTCAGCCATAGGGCCCAAAGTCAATCTGTGCCACAGGCCATTACTGTCATCAGCATTATTCATGACTTTTGTCTCTCCTCTTATAATTCCCTCAACCTCCCCAGTGCAACCCGCTGCTGCCGTAGCATCCATCTCCCCTACGCTGCCCTACCACTCGATTGAAGCTATCCCTATGATAGGATAATAATAAAGTACGTCTGTTATTAATGACGGTGTATCACGCCACGCCAGCCCTGCCTGGACCACCCATCCCCTTCGCTCCTTTCTTGCTACACCTGTGCCTTACCCAAAATGGTGTCCTTTTCTCGGGCCTCCAGGTCGGCGATGGAGACGAAGTTGCACTGCACCATGGGTACGTCCTGGGTGTCCTCACAGGGGATGATGGTGGACTCTCCATTCAGGGTCATCTCATAGTCATTCTTCAGGGACGAGTACTGCTTGTTGGCAATCTTCAGGGATCCCTTGGAGATGTAGAACACCTGGACAGGGATCAAATAAGGTTCAAATCTAAAATAGATTTGTGCACAGGATTCATTTCACCTGAATACTGATGTAGGAGCTAAATAAAGCCTGGCAGAGGATCTGAAGCAAATGATCATGTTGCTACTGTCCTGAGACTCATTTTGGAGAGAATCATTCGTCTCAGATTTGTATCATTCTATCAAATCATATTATATCCAATTCAGCACTTTGTACACATCAAATATTGGCAATAGCACATTGAGATTGATTACTCAGTTGACCCAAATCTACCAAAGTGACAGACATATGGTGGATAAGCATCATTAATAGGAGGCAGTTCATCTCACCTTGCCAGTCTCAATGATGCTGTAGAACTTGTCCACCTCCTGGGTAAAGGCAGTCACTCTGATCTCTCCCTGCATCAACAACACAGTCAGCTACAGACTAGCTCCACACGATCCAACACGGCAACATGAGAAAATGCAAACAAAAAGGGTTACTCACACTCTCATCCACAATCTCCATGGAGAACAGCTTGCCGTCCCCACGAGAGTTGCTCCAGGTGCGGATGCCACTCTTGTTGGTGACACGGGCTCGGATGGTCCACCTGACAGAAAATAACCAATGTTTATGTAGTTGTTGGATGGATCTCTAGTCCTTGAAAAGACCTTGACCAACTATCGATGGAATAAATCACACAAACATATCCCCACATACAAATCAGCCTGTCATTATTCAGTTCTATGACTAAAGAGTATGGTACAACAGGATTATCATGACTCAAGAGTAAATATTTGGGCAAGAGATCATGTTGTTGTTTGAGATGGTCATCAAAGTGATAGGGTGTCTTTTGGGATGCAGTATATACCCTATATATTGCACTAAGAAGTACACTATATAGGGAATATGGTGCCATGTGGGACACAACCATAGACGGGTATAAGAAGACCACTCACTTTGACTGGTAGGGGTTGAGGCTGGCGATGGGCACGACTTTGGAGGATCCCCCAGGAGTGCTGGGCATGGCAGACGGAGGCATGGCCTTCTTCCCCCCAAACTCTCTGCTGGGACCTTTGTTCATGGAGCCTTATGATAGATAGGGAAATGAAAAAGAGAACAGAGGAGTTATTGGTGCATATAGAGAGCAGTGATAGAGAGGCAAACTCAAAAGAATAGACATCCATAATTCATCAGGGCTGAATTACAAAAACCTAATTTCTTTGGATCGCAACTCCTTGATCACTGTAATTATCTCACTTCATGAGAGTAGTCTCGCATCACAGAAAAACTTAATCAGGAAGAGTAGTGGATTTATTGCGGTAGATTTGGGATAGTAGGAGAGAGGAGTGTGTGAGTCAGATGTTGTTTCTGTGAGCGAGATGATGATTCACATATCACAGACTCAAAGCAGACAGAAGTGTGAAATAACAAACCAAAGCTGCTCTTCCCACAGGAGATTGGTGCATGAGGCCTGACTTTGAGGTTTCTCTGTTCGGACAAGCACTAGCTGCACATTTGATTTGTGTGCCTCTCACACTGTGGATTACAGCTCAAAGTGTCCACTTTGCCAACCTCTGCATTTCTAGAAATTAAGCCCCCAGATCCAGCAGCACAGCCACACAACTGAACAATAATAACTGTGCTGATGAGGAGGATGAAGCTCACCATAACTACTTCAATTCCCTGACACCAGATTAGTGGGATGAATACCTACGACCCTGACCATAAGATATAAGCTCATGAAGCCGTAGATTGGGCTAAGAGTTCATCTGTCACAGTTCACAAAATGCCTTTCAATACTGTAGGTTAGCACTAAGAAACCTTTCCTTTAGCCCTGCATATTTTCATGAAATAACTGGGTAAACACTTGTACTGTGAAATGATTAGAAATAGTTATTCAGAGAGATGGGTTATGAGATGATTAACATGAATTTAATTACCTGCACCCTTTTCCTCTTAGACCTATTTAGGGAGCATTTGTAACAAATAAATGCAAAATTCAAGTAGAATAACTAAATATGTATATTTTGGAATCAATGTCAGTAGCATATTATTATTGATAATTAGGCTACCCATCACGTACCATCTCTCATCATGGCATGATTATCATTTTATTTCAGTACTAATTATAACCAAGTGCTTACCTAATTACTTGATGAAAAGGGAACTGTCGAAGGAGCTGAAACCCATTAATCAATACTACTGTATATTCAGATCATATCCAATTCAAAACCAGATTTACAATCTGACTGACGAGCACATCTGGACTACTGGAAATAATAACCAGTGTGAAGTACAGATAGTTCACCAGCAGCATGTCTGTTTTATAGCTTTTCTCTAAGACTGATTTTACTGTCTTATTTGCAACAAAGAGGAGACCGAATATAGACCTAGTATTTTGTGCTTAACAGCATCACGTGTCAACTACCATCTTAGTAAGATAAGTATAACGTTACAGATGACTGCATATACCCAAGAGGCAAATGTTTATTAGCTAACTGTTCTGACAAAAACAGTAGCAGTGTCATATGTTCTGTAGATCTGAGGATTTCAACCAACATTTGTCCGTTTTGCATAAATGCTGACATCTACTGGAAACTGCAAGGAAATAACCTATATTGAAGTGTTTTAGTAACCTTCTAAACCACTATAAATAAATGTATACACTACAGGTCAAAAGTTTTAGAACACCTACTCATTCAAGGGTTTTTCTTTATTTTTTAAAACTATTTTCTACACTGTAGAATAATAGTGAAGACATCAAAAACTATGAAATAACACATATGGAATCATGTAGTAAGCAACAAAGTGTTCATCAAATCAAAATATATTTTATATTTGAGATTCTTCAAAGTAGCCACCCTTTGCCTTGATGAAAGCTTTGCACACTCTTGGCATTCTCTCAACCAGCTTCATGAGGTAGTCACCTGGAATGCATTTAAATTAACAGGTGTGCGTTCTTAAACGTTAATTTATGGAATTTCTTTCCTTCTTAATGAGTTTGAGCCAATCAGTTGTGTTGTGACAAGGTATACAGAAGATAGCCCTATTTGGTAAAACACCAAGTCCATATTATGTTAAGAACAACTCAAATAAGCAAAGAGAAACGACAGTCCATCATTACTTTAAGACATGAAGGTCAGTCAATACGGAAAAGCGCTGTGATGAAACTGGCTCTCATGAGGACCGCCACTGGAATGGAAGACCCGGAGTTACCTCTGCTGCAGAGGATAAATTCATTAGAGTTACCAGCCTCAGAAATTGCAGCCCAAATAAATGCTTCACAGAGTTCAAGTCACAGACATCTCAACATCAACTGTTCAAAGGGGACTACGTGAATCAGGCCTTCATGGTCAAATTTCTGCAAAGAAACCACTACTAAAGGACGCCAATAAGAAGACTTGCTTGGGCCAAGAAACACGAGCAATGGACATTAGACCGGTGGAAATGTGTCCTTTGGTCTGGAGTCCAAATTGGAGATTTTTGGTTCCAACCGCCGTGTCTTTGTGAGACGCGGTGTGGGTGAACGGATGATCACCGCATGTGTATTTCCCACCGTAAAGCATGGAGGAGGTGTTATGGTGTGGGGGTGCTTTGATGGTGACACTGTCTGTGATTTATTTAGAATTCAAGGCACACTTAACCAGCATGGCTACCACAGCAATACAACATCCCATCTGGTTTGGGCTTAGTGGGACTATCATTTGTTTTTCAACAGGACAATGACCCAACACACCTCCAGGCTGTGTAAGGGCTATTTTACCAAGAAGGAGAGTGATGGAGTGCTGCATCAGTTAACCTGGCCTCCATAATCCCCCGACCTCAACCAAATTGAGATGGTTTGGGATGAGTCGGACGGCAGAGTGAAGGAAAAGCAGACAACAAGTGCTCAGCATATGTGGGAACTCCTTCAAGACTGTTGGAAAATCATTCCAGGTGAAGCTGGTTGAAAGAATGCCAAGAGTGTGCAAAGCTGTCATCAAGGCAAAGGGAGGCTATTTGAAGAATCTACATGATTCCATATGTGTTATTTCATAGTTTTGATGTCTTCACTATTATTCTACAATGTAGAAAATAGTACAAATAAAGAAAAAACCCTTGAAAGAGTAGGTGTTCTAAAACTTTTGACCTGTAGTGTATAGCTGCAAAACATTAGGAATGTATCTTGAGAATACGGTCCATTCATGACTCAACCTCAACTCCTGGTACAGGATGTGAAAAGGCATTAGATTTAAAAGCACAGTTGGTGATCTGGAGTTGTTTACCATCAATTCCATTCTGGGGCTGCAGGGGGTGGACTGAGGGATTGGGGGCTGACTGTGGGGCTTTACTCTGACCTGCAAGGGAGATGATGAAGTGAAAGGTCAAAACTCAAGTAAGCTGCACATTCAACATGGTAAGCTATATCCATGTCTGGATTCAAACATTTGTTCAACCTCTATCCCCCTAAGCCGTATGATACGGTGATGGTTAGAAATGCAATATGGGCTGAAGACTCACCTTCCACGTAAGGCGTGGGCTCTCCGATCTTTCCAGCCACCTCATCAGCAGACTTCACCACCTCCATGTCCAATATGACCACCACACGGCTGAACAGAAATAAACAGCTTAACAATTGCATTGTAAATTATTTTCCAAAGACTAAACACATGGTTGATATTCTAACAGAAATTGTATGTATGTGTATATCCATTGTGTGTGTGTGTCCATTATAACAGCTCTAAAAGTTTGTGACTCATCTCAGCCAATTCATCAAAAGGAGAAAAATTATGCAGCAACAAGGAGGGCCTACATGAACAGCTAGCCTACATTAATATAATTTGAATAATAAACCATGTTTCCAATATAAATGGAAAGAAAAGGGTTTGTCATTCTGTAGGCAAGAAAACATAAAAACATCAAAAGATAGAAGCACCATACCGTCCATCCTTCAGGACATTGGTCACGTTCCTCTTCAGCTGACAGATACAGTTTGGGGCTAGTCGGTTGTCCTCAGCCATTTGGTTGAGCTGGGTGGAGAGCATGAACGCTACAGGAGGGATAGAGAGATGATAGGAGAGATGTTAGAGACAGACCAACACAAACATCAGCAGTACAGTGGAGGACAGCCACCCGCTGCACACGCCCATTGCTTGTGTTAGTCTGTCTTGTCTATGAGAGCTGATGATATGCATCTCCCAACTAAAAACAACCCCCACACAGACAGATACAAACATGCCATCCTTGGTAGTAAACATGGAACAGATCCAACTGCAGCCCAGTCTAGTATGGGATGAGGATAGATTTAGATCCCAAAAATATGTTCCTTAATGTCTTAAAATGCACATTATTTTTTCATGACTTCGTATGGTATCACAACACTTCTTAAACTTCGCCAAATTAAAAGGAAGAAATTGATACATGTTTTTTTTATTCTTTGATGATTTCCAGCTCTCTATTCCTTTTACTGAATCCTGACTACCTCCTGCTGGTCAGCCCCAGGCAATCCACAGCATAAAACATCCACAGCACAAAACACTCCAAAGTGCCCCTGTTGCTTAGGTCAGCTATTTACCTTGATATTTTCTGGGTGAGACTATGGAGAAGAACTAAAACCACTTTTCATTTGCCCTGTTGTCTTTGAAGCCTACCTTCTGGTGTAATTCAGATTATGACTGGATTGCACTATGTAGCTCAATTGGTAGAGCATGGCACTTGTAACGCCAGGGTAGTGGGTTCGATCCACGGGACCACTCATATGTAAAAATGTATGCACACATGACTGTAAGTCGCTTTGGATAAAAGCATCTGCTAAATGGCATATTATTATTATTACTATGGATTTACAAAAACTGGGTGCACTAACTGTATGTCGCTCTGGATAAGAGCGTCTGCTAAATGACGTAAATGTTAAAAAAAAAGTTTCTCAACAGCTTTATTTGGCAGGTCTCTAACATCTCCATTAAGAATATCCTTGACTTTAATTTACACTGATACCTTGACATTTACTGTATATATTCAATACAGTTGGAACCATGCATTCATTTAAAATACTGGCATATGTTATCCAAACAGAAAACGTTTGTTGTCGTTGCATGCCACTATCACAAAGCAATGCTATGTATGTGCCACCTGTAATGGTCACCTGCCATACAACCATTTCTGTGTGTACTTTTAACAGGTGGTGGAGTGGATTTGGAATAGTTCTACTCACAGGACATTGAGTGTTGTCCATCACTCATCATCAGACGAAAGCGGGCTGGTCCACTGCCTCCATCAATTTTACGGATGTTCTGAAAGAATATGAATACAGGAGTGCAGTAGAAATTATCTTGGTCAAGTCGACTAATCTAGTAGTGGTCGAAATCTGTATTACCGTCTTGGTGAAAATCCTTGTCTTAAATGTTGGTCTCTAAAACATGGGTCCATACTGTCCAAGTTAGCTAGCTAACTGTTGATAATGCCAGTAATCATTCTTCAACAGTTGGCCCTATTAACTTGGCTAACTAACTTAGTTATCTAAAGTTAGCGAGCTAGCTACCTACCTACTTCCACAAAATCCATTCATACTCACCACTAATTGAAGTATGGGGTTTTGTAAATCATTAGAGCCTTTGGTTAGGGCCTGTTGAAAGAGTAGAAAACAGCTTGAGACAGATGAAAAATATATCTAGATAGCTAGCTAACGTTAACTAGCATTGTGGCTAGCTCAACAAAGCATCCAGCAGCAGCACATTAGCAGACAGTCCCTGTCTGAAAACCATCTTCCTCGATGCTGGGTAAACTTTGTTTGCATGCTTTCTGGGATGTCATAAAACGCCACCACCTACCTCTATCGCTCCCTTCGTCAGCATGTTAGTCATGTTGAAGCTGAGTTTATAACTATATAGGGCGAAAATGTATGTTTTAACTCAGAGAGGACAATCTCACTTCTACAGCGGCAGCAATTCCTCAGTGTGGCGCCAAATGTATCCCTGAACGCGCGAACTGTTCATAACGTCATCGCGTCATTTCCTGCTAAGCCTTCCGGTTTCTCTTATGGATCTAGGATCAGTTTACACTCGTCAAGACCACCTTTAGCAACAGGGGATAAAACGTAAAACTGACCTCAGAACAGCATGCCGAGCCAACGTGCCTCTATGGGACTTTGGTTAAACGTGTAAAAAAGTGTTTAAATAGTAGGCATTGCCATGTCTAAAATTGCTTTATAAGAAGACACAAAATAAGTTGTATGAATAGCTGCTCCTTTTATTAGATGTCCTGCAAATCCTGCAACATTTATGAAAACCATCTTTGTTGAAGAAAAACATGATTCACAAACACCGGCGGATTTAAACATGCTGCATGGTCAATCTGGAGTCTGCATTGGCCATGCACCATTTACGGTGATATGGCTTCTGAAGAAGTCAGGGCATTCATATTTCCTGATCTTTACAGAGCTGTTGTGAAGGAAGTTGTCAAGGAAGTGAGTTTGTGTTTATTTAGGACCTCCCGCCCCCACCTACCTTCAACCAATCATGTCAATGCAGAGCAATATAGAGCCCTCTGCATTGTAACAAAATTTGGGAGGCGAAAAGCTATGCGGTATGGAGCTGAATTTGGCCTTTGTGTGCCTCTGGATGCTTCCGAAATTGCATCACACCCTCCATCCAGTCTCCAAACACATTTTCGGATCAAGCATAAATTGGCTTTTAGTGATTTGGAGGCCCCAGGCAGAGGCCCCGCCCATGTATTTTTTATAAGCTACTTTACGCCACAGTCCCTTCTAACGTGTTCTACACGGCTTGTGAGCGTCTTAGGAAAAGAGAAGACATGTCAGTGTCCCTGAGAGTATTAGCTTTCTGGCATGGGGGTCATAGTAGCCCCAACCGTTCAAAAGCTACAGCTAAATTCTGATGAAGAAAAGGGAAAGTGATCCATTTGCCACAATCGCTAGCACACATCAGAGATTACTCACGAGAGGAGGAGGGCCTCAAGCGGAGGAGGAATGCAAGTTAACAGAAATAAATGTATTATTAAACAAAATTATGCCAAGTTCACAAGGCTCCCTGATGGTGTGAGGCCCCAGACAATCAACTTAGTTGCCTAATGGTAAGTCCGCCCAGTTCAGAAGCTGCTGCTGCAGTATGCTTTCCCTCCTAAAACATTATTTTTATTAGTCATTTAGCAGATGCTCTTATCCAGAGCAACTTACAATTAGTGAGTGCATACATTATTCTTATTTTTTCATACTGGCCCCCCGTGGGAATCGAACCCACAACCCTGGCGTTGCAAGCACCATGCACTACCAACTGAGCTACACGGGACTACTTAAAAAAAACAAAAAACATTTTTAGTCATTTAGCAGTCACTCTTATCCAGAGCGACTTACAGTTAGTGAGTGCATAGATTTTTTAAACTGGCCCCCAGTAGGAATCGAACCCACAACCCTGGCGTTCCAAGCGCCATGCTCTACCAACTGAGCTACAGGAGGCCTGTACATAGACACCATATTTTCTTTACATTGATTGGAGACAATGCAATGCAAAGCAGGAATTTGCTCTAAACTTCTACTTTCGTTTGAAAGGTATCCTACTTTTCTCCCCATCTAACAAAGTGTAATGTGCAAATATATACTGAACAAAAATATAAATGCAACAATTGTGCATCTGCTCAAATAGAAAATCCTAATTGATTTCAGACTCAGTATGGCACCTGACGTTGTATAAGTTACCGATAAATAGTTAGCTAGCTGAGATTTGCAGCTAGCTTGCTAATTAAATTGTTCGCTATCTTTATTCTGTCGTATATTTTCAGTTAGCTAGCGAGTGTCTCGCTGAATGCATTGCAATTTCTTTCTATGTGTAGCCGGCGCGGTCTGCTCGTTGCCGACTACTGCGTTGTGTTCCGGTGCACTGAAGACAAGACACTGGCGTACTTGAAGGCACTTTATTGTGTACAACTCTCTCAATCTGTTCAACATCAAGGAGAGAAAATGTTCAAAACTCTACCCTCGACCAGAATCCGCCTCTCTCAGTCGAGTAGAATGCAGACTCAGTATAATCACATTCAAAAATCCAAGGAATAAAATACAACATAATTGGAAAATAAACATCGCATCTGGTGTATATCTTATGTATGTGTCATATTGCATGTTATCTCTGCCAAAAACTCTGAGCTTTTAGCCTTTACATTAATACTGTGCAACATGACATAAACCATCTTTCAAATAGGTAATACATACAGTAATATGCACGAAGCAACATGTAATCCTTCACATTTGAGCTTTTCAGTGCCATTAAACACTAATCAATACATAAAAACATTTTAAATGAACACATATTTTTAACCTGATATTGGGAATACATACATCAAGGAGACATCAAGGAGAGAAAATGTTCAAAACTCTACCCTCGACCAGAATCCGCCTGACATAAAAAAAACAACTGAAACGTGGGCTTCAACACAAGAGGATAGAATGACGATCGCTAACTTACAGCTAAACAAAACACGAGGTTAGCTAAGTTAGCAATTTCTCAAACTCTCAAAAATAGCTAAATTCACGACACAGCTTGATTAAATGTATGTACACTCATCATATAATATACATACAAGTTACTATGTGCACTGAAACGTTTTAGTTTTAACAGGTATATAAAGTTTATATCACGCCGAAGTGAACACATACCTCTCTCAGTCGAGTAGAATGCAGACTGAGAAAAGCATGAGACAACTCCACATATAACCAAACCAACACTCTAGAGGGCGCACTTACACAACTAACTCTCCCAATATCTGTAAACTACACGAAATGCTGAACAATACAATATTTTGGTGAAATCAACTCACAAAATAAAATAAAAAATAGAAAATGAACGGTTGCAAAAATCTGTTATTCTTTGACCTGTTACATATGCATTACTGTAAAGTTTCGTAGGACTTGGAGACTGAAATATAATACTTTTAGCTAGTTAGCTCACTATTTAGCTACAACACTGACATTGCTAGTACCAGCAAAGATGGTTGGTGGATACATGAAGGTAGTTCATTCTGCTGTTCATTCAGGCTGTTTACCGTCTACTTAACTGGGTGTGTATCCCATAGACACCAATGCAATAGCACCTTGCTGGGTCTGGTCTACTTAGTTCATTGATTTTCATTGAACCAGGGGAAAAAAAACAGCTAGTGGGGTGTCTCGCTTCCTCTTCCTTCTCTGGTACCAGTCCCGTTCAATAATCTGCAGACTGCGGATACTACTTGCCGCGCCCACTAGGCATCACTTACTATATGCCGCTCCCGCTGCCATTGAAGCTGCTAGCGCTGTCTTTGGCCCACACTCCAGCACAATAGGTGGCGGTAACATAATGCACCAACATCGTTGGATGCCAGCCACCGAAAAACCCCACTGAATAAGGAGGCTGCTAGCTAGCTAGGAGACACCTGTACACAGTTTCCTTCCACCCAGCATGCTGAGTGCTGCTTTCAAATCAAATCAAATGTATTTGTCACATCCGCCGAATACAACAGGTGTAGACCTTACAGTGAATTGCTTACTTACAAGCCCTTATTAACCAACAATGCAGTTGTAAGAAAAATAAGTGTGAAGTAAATAATCCGGGTAGCCATTTGATTAGTTGGAGTCTTATGGCTTGGGGGTAGAAGCTGTTAAGAATCCTTTTGGACCTAGACTTGGCGCTCCGGTACCGCTTGCCGTGCGGTAGCAGAGAGAACAGTCTATGAATAGGGTGGCTGGAGTCTTTGACAATTTTTAGGGCCTTCCTCTGACACCACCTGGTATAGAGGTCCTGGATGGCAGGAAGCTTGGCCTCAGTGATGTACTGGGCCGTACGTACTACCCTCTGTAGTGCCTTGCGGTCGGAGGCCGAGCAGTTGCCATACCAGGCAGTGATGCAACCAGTCAGGATGCTCTCGATGGTGCAGCTGTATAACTTTTTGAGGATCTGAGGACCCATGCCAAATCTTTTCAGTCTCCTGAGTGGGAATAAGCTTTGTCGTGCCCTCTTCACGACTGTCTTGGTGTGTTTGGACCATGATAGTTTGTTGGTGATGTGGACACCAAGGAACTTGAAGCTCTCAACCTGCTCCACTACAGCCCCGTCGATGAGAATGGAGGCGTGTTCGGTCCTCCTTTTCCTGTAGTCCACAATCATCTCCTTTGTCTTGATCATGTTGAGGGAGAGGTTGTTATCCTGGCACCACACGGCCAGGCCTCCCTATAGGCTGTCTCATTGTCGGTGATCAGGCCTACCACTGTTGTGTCGTCGGCAAACTTAATAATGGTGTTGGAGTCGTGCCTGGCCATGCAGTCATGGGTGAACAGGGAGTACAGGGGAGGGGAGGAGGCCAGGACCAAGTTTGGGAAACCCTGTCCTAGCTAGCTAGCAGCCTCAATGGCAGTAGTAAGTGACACGTACTGGGCGCGGCATGTAGTAAACTCGGTCTGCAGTTAGACCCGTCTCGTTAGGCTAAGCTCTGCTCACATGACTCTCCTACTGCCTGTCCAATGGCTCAGTGGAAGATGAAGTGGCATGATAACTAGCACCTCTCATCTTCATATTCCTTCATCTTCCACTGAGCTTTCACTTGTTGCACTTGTGTTGATTAGCTGGCTGGATCTATCTATTTCCTTGAAAAGCCATTGGATAGGCAGTAGGAGAGTCATGTGAGTTGAGCTTATCCTAACGAGACAGTAAAGTTGACAACCTCTCAACCTCACAGCTCAAATCAATCAAATCACATTTTATTTGTCACATGCTTCATAAACAACAAGTGCAGAGAGAAAAATAATAGAAAGTTAATAACACAAGGAATAAATACACAATGAGTAAGGATAACTTGGCTATATACACAGGGTACCAGTACAGAGTCGATGTGCAGGGGTACGAGGTAGATATGTACAGTACATATGGGTAGGGGTAAAGTGAATAGACAACAGGGTAGATAATAAGCAGTAGCAGCTTAGCTATCATTCATATCAGCAGCACCACCCCTGGACAAGCTCACTCATTGGTTTAGTGTAAAATTAATGAAAGTCTTGTTTCTACGCAGATTTGTATTTTATTTCAACCGTTAAACCATTAACCAGGTTCATCTTACCTAAATTCTGTTTAAAATTGTAATGCAACTTGATAATTTATATTCTGTTTCAAATGTCTTCACAGGAAACATTGTCAGACACAACCCCACTCCTACATGTCAGCACTTCCTCCTTCCATGGAAGAGTGAGAGAGAGTCATCCTCTGTCCTGGTAGTTAGGAGTGAGCCAGTGGGAGGACAGCAGGACAGTGTGTCACTCCTGTCTGTCAGTCTGTCAGGCCTGGAGGAGTAGGTCACCATGGAGTGGCTAGTGTCGGCTGTAGAGAAGGACTGTCGGCAGCTGGGTCCAGGGCCCCGGCCTCAAGAGCTGGTGGCCCTGGTCCCCACCCGCTGGGTGATGGGCCTAAGGGAGAGGAGGGTCATCCGTTGTGCCCGTTCAGAGAGCGCCAGTGAGGCAGAGATTCGCACCTATCTCCAGCGCTCCCTGGTGAAGCTGCCTCCTGGCTGGACCCGTGTGTGCATCCAGGGCCTGAGGAAGAGCAAGCTGAGCTACAGGCTGGCAAGGGACCCAGGCTGCCAACTAGTCTCCCAGGATTCTTTCATGAAGACCATTCAGGGGGTATCACAATGTAATTTCAGGTCCTGTTCCAATTTTTTTGGTCAACTTTAATTGCGAAATAACAGCATTATACAGTATTTTAAGCATTTACATTCAAATGTAAAACTCCTAAGAAATGATTTGTAAAATGTTGCCCTGCATTTATGAATGTGTGATAAAAAATGGTTGAGAGTCGTTACGTACTCATATCTGTTTTGGTCCTTTCACAGAAACCTGTGGTGCGAGGCTCATCACAGCCACGTGCAGCCCTATGCAGGGGCTACGTAGCAGATACATGTAGCAGCCATAGATGCTGTGCGCCAAGCGCTGCAGAAGCTCTTCGCTCTACGTTCGTCTCCATCCCCGTGTCGCCATCCCTCTCCTCTGCCAGAGACAAGGACAAAGACAACCCATTCTCCCCAAGCAGCTCCTCCTCCTCTAAGCACCCCTCAGACCAACTGTGTCCTAACGTCCTCTCTGCTGAGTGCCTACTGGAGTCAGCAGACTTGCTCTACGTGGTTCTCCCCTACACCCAGTACTCACTCCACAACATTGTCACCTACAGCCCAGCCAAGCTGGCCAACAGCCATGCCAAAGTGCTGTTCATCCTCTACCAGTTACTGATCGCGTTGCGGGCCTGTCAGGTGTCGGGGCTGTCCTGTGGAGAGCTCTCCCTGCAGGACATAGCGGTGGACGAGCAGCTCTGCAGCTGCCTCAAGGTCACCCTGGCCCATTATGAAGAGCTGGGGGAGGACAGAGAGGCTGACTGCTATGTTACTGAGGGAAAAGTGCCAAGAAGCATCAAGGCGAGGGAGCAGGGCCCAGATGTGAAAAGTGACTGTGATAAGAGGCTGTGCAGAGATTGTTTCGATGAGCTCAAGTCCTTGGTCCTGGACTGGGTCCATGGTAGAGTCAGCAACTTCCGCTACCTGATGGGGCTGAACAGGTTAGCTGGACATTTACATTACATTTTAGTCATTTAGCAGACGTTCTTATCCAGAGCGACTTACAGTTAGTGAATGCATACATGTTTTTATTTTATTTTATTTTTTATACTGGCCCCCGTGGGAAACGAACCCACATCCCTGCCGGCCAAACCCTCCCCTACCTTGGACGACGCTGGACCAATTGTGCGCCGCCCATGGGTTTCCCGGTCGTGGCCGGCTGCGACAGAGCCGGCCGCGGCAGGGTGACCTTGAGGCGGCTGCAGAGCTGCTCGTCCACCGCTATGTCCTGCAGGGAGAGCTCTCCACAGGAGACCACTGCGCCACTCGGGAGTCTAAGAAGGGAGGGAGACCCTAACTACCACCCGGTCCTGCCCTGGGTGGTGGACTTCACTGTGCCATATGGGAGGTTCCGGGACCTCAGGCGGTCCAAGTTCAGGCTTAATAAAGGAGACAAGCAGCTGGACTTTACCTATGAGATGACCAAAGAGGCCCTTTCAGCAGTGGTGGCTAACGGAGGAGGGGCAGTCAGTATTATAGGAGACTTGGGTCTGGGTGGGTCTGTAGGCGCCAGTGGTTCAGGGCAGTCTGAACACCTACACGTGCCCCATCAAATCTCAGACGTGTTGTCAGACATCACCTACTACGTCTACAGGGCCCGGCAGACACCCATGTCAGGTCTCAGTGGGAACCGAACGAATACCCAGCCAGTATGGAACGCATCCAGAGCTGGACCCCGGATGAATGTATCCCAGAGTTCTACACAGATCACTCCATATTCTGCTCCATCCACCCTGACATGCCGGATCTGGAAGTTCCCCCATGGTGTAACTCCTGTGAGGAGTTAATCGAGGTGCCTAGAGGTGTCTCAGCAGCTGCACTACTGCTGTCCGGTAAAGAAGCCGTCAAGGCCAAGAACGTGTGCCTGCACCTGGTGGATAACCACACCCATCTGACCAGCTACGGGGAGGTCCAGCTGTTTGACCAGCCCCACCCACCCCGCCTTGCACCTTACCAGTACTCACCACCTGAATCCCCTCTCCTGGGCCCCGCCATTCTCAATGTGCCTCCTCTACAGATCCCACCGCTAGATGCCATGGTGGACGGAATGGTCCCAGAGGCCACGGGGTGTGAGTCAAGTGGCTGGACCATGGTGGACCGAGATGAAGAGCTAGAACAAGGTATGGAGGCTCTGGACTCACTCAGTGGAGGGACCTCCACTGGCACCTCCACTACCTTCTCTGTCCCTCTACCTCTCATCAGCACAGCAAGGTCTGGGGGGAAGACTGGAGGAGAGCAACCAGCCATGGTGGTGTCCCAGTCGCCCAGCTCTTTCTCAGGGGAGGGGGCATCAGGTAATGCCACCAGCGCCCTGGGCTCTGGCATACGCAGTGCCATGGTACAGAGAGGGGGCACCATAAACAAGAAGCACGCAGAGGGCAGTGTGAGTGGTGCCAACAACACAGAAGACTTCAAGATCACCCTGCCTGAGGGCTTCAGTCCACTTCAACCTCTTGAAGAGCTGGAGAAACTGAACAACTTTCTGGTGAAGAGCCTGCATGCACAAGTCTGGCACCAATCTGACTCCAGGAAGGAGAGGACAGGAGCGCCACAATGTCTCCCCTCTCTAGCAGAACTCTACCAGAGGGACATGCAGGCTCTGGGCGTCCTCATAGCAGAGATCTTCTACTCGTCTAAACTGCGGGGCGTGAAACCAGGCACCCCCCTGAGTGAGCGCTTCCAGGCTGTGATAAAGCTATGTTCGGCCAGCCTGCGTGACGTTCCCCTGCCACTGCATCACGCTCTGGAAACACTGATACATCTACGCCAGCACTCCTCCAAAGCCAACGTAGAGAAACCATGTTGTCCTCACCCTCTTCTTTTTAAATACGACCCCATTTATGAGGGTCTCCCGCCCCCAAACCCCTGTCAGTTACTGAGCCCCATCCTCTCCCCGTTGCCTTTCCCCACCTATTTCCCTGCCCTCCACCATTTCATCTACTCCTACCATTCCAAGATGGAGACCACCTGCAGCCTTCAAGGTCACGATGTGGTCTTCCACCTATGGCAGCAGCTGGAGACACTGTTACAGGGAGTCATCACAGCTGAGGGGCTGGAGCTCCTCCTGCCCTTTGTGCTGGCGCTCATGCTAGAGGAGTCCACTGCTGTGTATGCTGCCTGGTACCTGTTTGAGCCCATCTCTAGGGTACTCGGGCCCAGAAACGCGGCCAAGTATCTCCTGAAGAGAGGGGAAAATGGGGAGAGATCAACAATGTCTGTCTCTTATAGACACTGGCGCAGCCTGCCAGTGATGTTGGACTCAGTGTCTGTAGCTGGCCACTGTGGACATGTAGGTTGGTGTGTAAGCACTGAAGACGCTAACTGTAGTTGGGCTGTAGGCCGTGCCAATGTTTGTGATGACTGTTTTGTAGACCAATGTGGTTTCAGTGTTGAAGGGTCCGACATGCATTGCTCCCGAGTTAGACAAAGAGGTGTAGAATGCCACCTTGGGTCTGCCTGCGCTGTTGACACAGGAGAGAACACAAAATGAAGAATTGTAAATATTGTTCAATACATCAAGTTTGTTCAATAAATCATGTTGAACTGGATTTATTGAACAATATTTACAGTTTTTTGCATAACATTTGTGTTAAGTTCACATCTGTTTTACCTGCATTCTGACTTCAGATCCCACAACTGGCTCTCACTGGTTGTCATTCTGGCCTCCAAGGCTAAAATACCAAAGGAAAAAAACATTCAACATTGAAAAACAATTAGGCCTATTTGCTCAAAAGTGCACTTGGAAGACCTCCCACATCCCACTGTCACAGTCTGAAATATACCCTACTCTTGTTTGTAGCAAATAACTGTAAGTCGCTCTGGATAAGAGCATCTGCTAAATGACTAAAATGTAAAAACAAAAATGTAAATGTTATTTTAATGGACAAAAAAAGTTGCTTTTCTTTCGAAAACAATGACATTTCTAAGTGACCCCAAACTTTTGAACGGTAGTGTACTATAATATGAAAATACTACATTTTATGTCTAAAAAGCAATATCCATCTTACCTCTATATTGTTTGTTTTATGTCCTGCAGATTCGAGAAGAAAGATGACGAGTTCAACGGGAAAGTGAGCCAGGTAGCCTGTAGCCTTAATTCTGGCATAGAATCCAGCCTAGCTGACGCGATGCAATTTTCCTGATTTTTGACCAAAAAAATTCTCAGGCCTCCATTGATTTAGTCACTAATTCTGGCCATCCTACTACATGATATTATCTTAACATCTTCAACTGTTCTAAAAGGTGTATGTTCTCTCACATCACTCCTTGACTACAGTAGATTAATCATACACATGCACACTATTTGCATGTGGATGATAAACACCTTTGGTTTGAGTTGGTTTGCGGTAGTGCTCCTTTCAGTGTAGGTCCTAATTAAATCAGATTTTATTTGTCACATACACGTGTTTAGCAGATGTTATTGCGGGTGTAGCGAAATGCTTGTGCTTCTAGCTCCGACAGTGCAGTAATATCTAACAAGTAATATCAAACAATTTCACAACATATACCCAATACACACAAATCTAAGTAAGGAATGGAATTAAGAATATATACATATATGGATGAGCAATGACAGAGCGGCATGGACTAAGATACAGTAGAATAGTATAGAATAGTATAATGAGACTCTACCAGTGTTCTTGGTCTTCAGCTCCTCCATCTGTTTCTCACTGTCCCTCAGTTTGGCCTCCATGTTTCTCAGCTCCACTGTCTGTTCCGCCACCATGTCTCACAGCGATCTCATTTCAGTCCAGATGTCAGGGCTGAGACTTTCACTCCCTTTGACCGTCGCTCCACTATCCCTACACTACACACATCCAGAAAATACCAAGTTGAATGCTACAGTGCTGGACTTTGCCCTGGACAAATGTAGCCTGAAATCCAGACCTATTTTCTGCTAACATTACACTCTTTCAAATCAAAATCAAATCAAATTGTATTTGTCACATGCGCCGAATACAACAGGTGTAGACCTTACCGTGAAATGCTTACTTACAAGCCCTTAACCAACAATGCAGTTTTAAGAAAATAGAGATAAGAAAATATTTACAAAAATAATAACAATAATTTTTTGTTTTATTTTACCTTTATTTAACTAGGCAAGTCAGTTAAGAACAAATTCTTATTTACAATGACGGCATACACCGGCCAAACCCGGACGACGCTGGGCCAATTGTGCGCCACCCTATGGGACTCCCAATCAGGGCCGGTTGTGATACAGCCTGGAATCGAACCAGGGGGTCTGTAGTGACGCCTCAAGCACTGAGATGCAGTGTCTTAGACCGCTGCGCCACTCGGGAGCCCAGTAATAATGAGGCTATATACAGGGGGTACCGGTACCAAGTCAATGTGCGGGGGTACAGGTTAGTCAAGGTAATTTGTACGTGTAGGTAGGGGTAAAGTGCTCTGCCTTATGCGAAACAATGTTTGGAGTGGAATGTTACCACAAACAGACTTCTACACAGGCTAGGACAAATGAGTGCTGAACTGAACTTTACCCCCACATGAACAGGCATGGCAGCAGATTTCAAGTTTTAGTTGCTCATTGTGTTTGATATCTCACCCCCCACTGGGAATGGGCTTTGGCAGAGGGGGCGAGGATTTTGTTAGGAGAGATTGGAAAGCATTTTCCCCCAGAACCCAAATCGATTAGTGAGAGATTTGGTTTTGGGTGCAGAGAATATCAGTTGTCATTGTTGTGTTGACTGTATAACACTGATAACTGATTTCTCCCTACAGACACAGTCTGCAAGACCGTTAGATGGCTGTCTGCAGAGCTTGGACCCACAGTGACGTCTCGATATCTGGCCAGGAATCAGCTCCGGCTGCTCACCACCTGCTACATTGGAGAGTAACTGATGGATAGTTGGCACGAAAAGGACTTTCAAATACTGAAAGAGTTTGCTGTAACGGTTCTTACATACTATAGAAAACACCAAGTCACCACACTATCTATTGTCCTGGTTGAAATATGACACAATCAGCCAGTTCACACTTCTAAATAAATGTGACTGTGCTTACTACAGAGATCCTATTAAATTAGGATATCCCTATTAAATCAGGGATTATATATGTCATTCTATAGTGCCTACGGTTGAAAATGGAAATGTCATAGTTTTTATCCCTCAAGTGTATGCACTCGCTCTCGTCTCCCTCAAACCAACCAGGCCCTGAGAAGCACCAGTTTGTGGCTCCGGTGGTGTCGGAGGAGAGCAGCCTGGAGTGTGTTGGGATGGGCAGTGTGTATGAGAAGAAGCCTGTGGTAGGAGACCAGACAGCAGGACCAGTTCTGGACTGTCTCATCTATATCGCACACCTCTATGGAGAGCCTGTACTCACCTACCAGTACCTGCCCTACATTGGATACCTGGTAATACTGTCTTTTATTTCAATGCCCTCGCTATGGGTGCATCTCAAATGGCTCCCTATTTCCTATATAGTTGACTATTTTTGACCAGGGTCCGGTGCCATTTGAGTAGGGCTGACCCCATTTAGTCGACTGGTCGATTGTTTGGTCGATAGGCTGTTGGGCGACCGAGATGTTTTTAGTAGAGCAGTGGCAAATAGATAAAAAAATATTATGGCACACGAGACAGCTGTCTGATTCACGCCTGTCTGAGTGGACTAATCCATTGTGGAGGCACACCAGTATCACCTGTAGTACATTTACCCTTAATTACCATCATTTATCATCTACAATGTTTGTTTGGTTACTGTAATTTCTGTTAATGCATTCAATATATTATTATTACATTCTTACCTTTGTCATTGTAGGAGTGGATACGTTGTTTGCAGAGCACACAACCTAGGCTACACTTGTGAGAAAAAAGTTTTGGTTTATTTCATTCCATTTACGAGTTTTGTTTGGAGCGCTCCTGTCAATCTTGAGTAAGGACACGCACTTGATTATGCATAGAAGTAGGCCTAGGCTACCTGGCCTGTGCACAAATGTAGGCTTATAAATGTGCCCATTTGGGGATCTGATAGTATTTCTGGTTGTCTTAACTCACTGAGGGGGGAGCTTGGAGTTTAGTCAAAGTGAAATTCTCACACTCCAATTTTTACCTTGGCACTCACAGCCAAGGTAAAAACCCTAGATTCGAACATGGATTGCCTACTCACGGAAAGCAGGGTGATGAGGGAGTCGCTACTAGACATACAAACCTGAAACGTGTGAAAATCTAATATTTTCTGGGATTCCTGAGGACACATCCAATAATCCAGAGGGTGCGATCAGAGAGTTCATGCAGTCTGCCTTAAAATTTCCTCTAGAGACTGTAAACAAGGTGGATTTCCACCAAGTGCACAGTCTTGGAGCTTCAAGACCAAGGGTCCCCGACCTATCATCGCAAAATTTGAACACTACCAACAAAAGGATCTGATCAAAAGCAGGGGAAGGGAGCTTAAAGGGACCAAATTCGGTCTCAATTACAAATTTCCCCTGGAGAGAAACGAACGTCGCAAGAGGCTGTATCTTGTACAGAGGCAACAGAGGGAGAGGGGTAAGCGTGCCTTTCTCATTGTGGACAAACTCTTTATAGACGGACAGCTTTTCAGAGACAGCTCCATAACACCATGGCTGTGCTAAACTCTACGGGGACATCAGGTTACAGAAAAAAATAATGGGGACTGTGAAATTTCAGAACAAAATGAAGTTGATACAGTGAGGGGAAAAAAGTATTTGATCCAATGCTGATTTTGTACGTTTGCCCACTGACAAAGACATGATCAGTCTATAATTTTAATGGTAGGTTTATTTGAACAGTGAGAGACAGAATAACAACAACAAAAAATCCAGAAAAAAGCATGTCAAAAATTTTATAAATTGATTTGCATTTTAATGAGGGAAATAAGTATTTGACCCCTCTGCAAAACATGACTTAGTACTTGGTGGCAAAACCCTTGTTGGCAATCACAGAGGTCAGACGTTTCTTGTAGTTGGCCACCAGGTTTGCAAACATCTCAGGAGGGATTTTGTCCCACTCCTCTTTGCAGATCTTCTCCAAGTCATTAAGGTTTCGAGCCTGACGTTTGGCAATTCGAACCTTCAGCTCCCTCCACATATTTTCTATGGGATTAAGGTCTGGAGACTGGCTAGGCCACTCCAGGACCTTAATGTGCTTCTTCTTGAGCCACTCCTTTGTTGCCTTGGTCATCTGTTTTGGGTCATTGTCATGCTGGAATACCCATCCACGACCCATTTTCAATGCCCTGGCTGAGGGAAGGAGGTTCTCACCCAAGATTTGACGTCCATCGTCCCTTTGTTACAAAAATGAAGTCTCCAACACAGGAACGCTACCAAAAATAATGTGCAGAAACTCGTTACTAAAGATGGAGTCATCCATGATTCTCCGAATGATATTTCAAAAGAGGAAGCTAAATATTTTAAGCCGATGTTTTCTTTTCCGTCTCATCCTCACCCTCTGCATAACGATTACTGTAAGGAATAATTTCCAAATAATTAAAAAAAGGACAAATTTACAAATGCACAAAAAGATCAGTGTGAAGGCCAAATTACAGAGGATTAACTTTTTGAGGCTATTAAATCCTTTCGGTCTGGAAAACTCCCAGGGCTTGATGGCATACCAGTAGAGGTATATTGTATTTTCTGATATACTCAAAGCTCCATTATTAGCTTGTTTTAACTGCTCCTATAGAAATGGTAGACTGTCAGGTACTCAGCAGGAAGGTCTGATTTCACTATTATTAAAACAAGACCCAGTGTAAGGGATCGGGGGTTGGCTGGGTCTAGACAGAGTCTGACATTTCCCCGATCTACAGAGAGGGGGAGTCATCAGACTCGATCTGGTTCACCTGAGTTCTGAGCACACCTGTCCGTAATTAGGGTAGGATATAAGGTGTGCTCAGAGGTTCAGTCGGTGCGAGGTATTGTTCCTTTGTGACTTGCTAAGCGTTTTGTTCCGAGAGAGAGAGAGAGAGAGAGAGAGTTTGTTGTTTTTGATTACCCGTGTATCCGACCTGTGCCTTGTTGTTTGACTTCCCGAATTGCTTAATCCTCTACTTGTCTACCCCAGTGATTACCGTTCTCTGATCCTGTGCCTGTGACCTCGACTACGACTAAGCCCGCTCCTTTGGTACCTCTGCCTGTCTATGCCTGGCCCGGTTTTGACCACAGCCCGCCCGACCACGATTAAGCTATTCCCTTGTCTGTACTCTAATAAAGCATCGCTATTCTGCGATTGGATCTTACTACTCTGTCCGAGTATTCATTACACCCAGATGGCAAATATAAAGATCCAGTCTATCTAAAAAACTGGAGGTCTCTTACACGTCAATGTTGTGATGCAAAAATACTAGCAAAATGCATAGCACTCAGGATTAAAAAGGTTTGACCAGGTATTGTTCATCCTGATCAGACACGTTTTTTACATGGACGATACATTGGAGACAATATACGACAACTACTAGAAATAATAGAACAATGTGAAACATCTAAGAAGCCAGGCCTGGTATTCACAGCGGATTTTGAAAAGGCCTTTGATAAAGTAAGACTGGATTTTATATACAGTGCATTCGGAAAGTATTCAGACCCCTTGACTTTTTCCACGTTGTTACCTTACAGCCTTATTCTAAAATTGATTAAATTGTTTTTTCCCTCATCAATCTACACACAATACTCAGTACTTTGTTGAAGCACCTTTGGCAGCGATTACAGCCTTGAGTCTTCTTGGGTATGACACTACAAGCTTGGCACACCTGTATTTGGGGAGTTTCTTCCATTCTTCGCTGCAGATCCTCTCAAGCTCTGTCAGGTTGGATGTCGCTGCACAGCTATTTTCAGGTCTCTCCAGAGATGTTCGATCGGGTTCAAGTCCGGGCTCTGGCTGGGCCACTGAAGGACATTCATAGACGAAGCCACACCTGCATTGTCTCCTGACTAGTCTCCCAGTTCTTGCTGCTGAAAAACATCCCCACAGCATGATGTTGCCACCACCATGCTTCACCGTAGGGATGGTATTAGCCAGGTGACGAGCGGTGCCTGGTTTCCTCCAGATGTGACACTTGTCATTCAGGCCAAAGAGTTCAGTCTTGGTTTCATCAGACCAGAGAATATTGTTTCTCATGGTCTGAGAGTCCTTTAGGTGCCTTTTGGCAAACTCCAAGCGGGCTGTCATGTGCCTTTTACTGAGGAGTGGCTTCTGTCTGGCCACTCTACCAAAAAGGCCTGATTGGTGGAATGCTGCAGAGATGGTTGTCCTTCTGGAAGGTTCTCCCATCTCCACAGAGGAACTCTGGTGCTCTGTCAGAGTGACCATCAGGTTCTTGGTCACCTCCCTGACCAAGGCCCTTCTCCCCCGATTGCTCAGTTTGGCCGTGCGGCCAGCTCTAGGAGGAGTCTTGGTGGATCCAAACTTCTTCCATTTAAGAATGATGGAGGCCACTGTGTTCTTGGGGACCTTCAATGTTGCAGAAATGTGTTGGTACCCTTCCCCAGATCTGTGCCTTGACAGAATCCTGTCTCGGAGCTCTACGGACAATTCCTTAGACAGGTGTGTGCCTTTCCAAATCATGTCCAATCAATTTAATTTACCACAGGTGGGCTCCAATCAATCAAATTGTAGAAACATCTCAAGGATGATCAATGGAAACGGGATGCACCTGAGTTCAATTTCAAGTCTCATAGCAAAAGGTCTGAATACTTATGTAAATAAGGTATTTCTGTTTTCTATTTGTAATACATTTGCAAACATTTCTAAAAACCAGTTTTTATTTTGTCATTATGGGGTATTGTGTGTAGATTGATGAGGCAACAAAAAAAAATGTAATCAATGTAAGGCTGTAACGTAACAAAATGTGGAAAAGGTGAAGAGGTCTGAATACTTTCCGACTGCACTGTATAAATGCCTGGATTTTTTTCAAATTTGGTGAGTCTCTTATTCAATGGGTAAAAGTAATGTATAGCAACCCCAGGTGTAAAATAGTAAATAGCGGCAACATCTCCGAGTTTTGAACTGTCAAGAGGAGTTAAACAAGGGTGTCCGCTGTCACCATATCTATTCGTTATGGCCATTGAAATGTTAGCTATTAAAATCATATCAAATAAAACAACATTAGAGGATTAAAAATCCAAGGCTTAAAAACAAAGGTGTCCATGTATGCCGATGACTCAAGTTTTATATTATGTCTGCAAGCTAGATCCCTGCAATGTCTCATTGAAGATCAAGATAACCTTTCTGGCATCTCTGGACTAAAACCTAATTATGATAATTATATTACGTATTGGATCTATTAGGAAACACAACTTTTACATTATCCTGCAGTTTACCTATAAAATGGGCTGACATTGAAGTAGACATACTTGGTATTCATATCCCAAAATATATAAATGAGCTCTCCACAATGAATTTCAATAGAAAACTAGTCAAAATAGACAAGATCCTGCAACCATGGAGAGGTAAATACCTGTCTATTTATGGAAAAATTACACTGATTAACTCCTTAGTCATATATCAGTTTACTCATTTATGGCGCTGCCTACTCCTGATGATTTTTTTTCAAATCATATGAGCAAAAATATTTTGCTTTGTCTGGGATGCTAAACCAGACAAGATAAAGCATGCCTATCTATATAATGAATATGAACTGGGTAGGTTGAGATTATTACATATAAAAGCACTAAACATCTCTCTAAAAGCTTCACTTATACAAAAGTTTTACTTGAACCCTAAAATGGTTCTCAAGTAGATTAATAAGAAAAGCTCATCCATTGTTTTAAAATGGCCTTCTTGCCTTTTGTGCAGATTGCCATGTCACATTTTTTATTCATTGAAAATTAAACCTTCAAAGTATCTATTTTTCAAGTATTGCAGAGCTGGTTACGATTTGAATTTCATCCCCCAGAAAAGATAGAACAAATATTATGGTTGAACTCAAATGTGCTGGTTGGTAAAAGAGCTTTAATTATGGTATTTCGTTTTTTAAATGATATTGTAAATTGGAATGGTGGAGTTATATATTTCATGGAGCTATCAGAATTGTATGGGAAGGTCTGCTCAATCCAAGATTACAACCAATTGATTACAACATTACCCCAAAAATGGAGGAGGCAGTTGGCAGCGGGAGGAGGTAGGGCACTGGTTTGTCTGCCCGATATATATAAAGGATCAAAACTGGCAGAGGATTATTTTTTTGCATAAATAGGAAAGTATACCAGTTTCATTTCAGCACCAGGATGTTCACAGCTGTGCCATTCAGATTGCAAAATGGGTGGGAAGAGATTTTTGATGTACCGATTCCATGGCACAGAGTATATTTGTTGATATATAAAACAACGCAATATTCAAGACATCATGATTTTCAGCTAAAATTATTGTACAGAATTCTTGCCACCAACAAAATGTTGAATATTTGGGGCATACAATCATCGCAGCTCTGCAGATTTTGTTGTGAGGATACAGAATCAGTAGACCTTTTGTTCTGGTATTGCCCTCAGGTTGCCTGATTCTGGTCTCAGGTTCAGGAATGGCTGGAAAAGCGTAACATTAATCTAAAATTAACCCTAGAAATAGCATTGTTGCGAGATCTGGAGAGACCTGGTCAGTCAATTACTAATATATTAATACTCTTAGTAAAAGTATTTCTCTTCAACTTGCAATCTGTGGATTCTATTTGATTAAATTCAAATTAAATGTTAAACATCACAACATAGTTGAAAGATATATGGCGCGTAGAAATCCTAAGAGGGTGGTCAGCAGAGATGGGTGGGTTGGGCTGAGGGAAAATGAGGGCTGGGGATGTGGGAGTGGAGTTGCTGGGCGTGGTATAGAATGACGGTCAAAGATAAAAGTAAAAAATGAAGTCAAAATAAACACACAAAAGTAAGTTTGAATGACACTGAGAAGCAACGCTGTTACATCCAATGCCTGTTTGCCTGAGGCTGATGTCGCGCAGGTGCTTGTACGCGTGTACATATAATAGTGCCCCACGTACACTCAAACGCATACAGCACAGTCGGCCTTGCTGTTTTGGTTGAGGGGCAGCTCTCAGGGAACTGTGGGGGGATCTTGGATGGTTGGTGACCTGGCGGTTGGGAGCTTGGGCCGGTGGCCGATAGGTCGCTGGTTCGGGTGTCCCGATTTGACTTGGTAGGAGATCTGTCGACGTGCCCTTGGGCGGGGCGCTTGACCCTGGTTGCTCATGTGGGTCGCTCTGGATGGGAGTCTGCTAGATGACTGAATGTAATGTAAATGTTGAGCGGCTTCACTGCAGGTAGATTGTATGTTTTTAATATTGAATAAAAAGTTAATAGTTGATACAATGTTTTAAGGTCCTTGCAGACAGGCAATGCATAGCCAATGTGATTATATTTTTTTGTTGGTACTTTCTACACCTTTTTACCCCTTTTTCTCCCCAATTGGTAGTTACAGTCTTGTCCCATCGCTGCAACTCCCGTACGGACTCGGGAGAGGCGAAGGTCGAGAGCCATGTGTCCTCCGAAACACAACCCCGCCAAGCTGTACTGCTTCTTGACACACACTGCTTGCTTAACCCGGAAACCAGTCGCACCAATGTGTCGGAGGAAACACTGTACAGCTGGAAACCGAAGTCAGCGTGCATACGCCCGGCCCGCCACAAGGAGTCGCTAGAGCACGATGGGTTAAGGACATCCCGGCCGGCCAAACCCTCCACTAACCCGGACGACGCTGGGCCAATTGTGCGCCGCCTCATGGGTCTCCCAGTAGATACATACTAACAACTCAACAAGATCTCATAGTTTCCCTTCGAAATTCGATGTATTATGGATGAATGTCTATTTTTGATTAATTCCACGTGGTTACAGGGTTAAAACAGAAACTCGCGAGGCCATGAAAGAACTGGAACATTTTCAGCTTCCAGGAATTGTGTACAGATCCTTGCGACATGGGGCCATGCGTTATCATGCTGAAACATGAGGTGATCTCGTTACGGTATCTCTGTGCATTAGAATTGCCATTGATAAAATGCAATTGTGCTTATGCCTACCGATACCATAACCCCACCGCCACCATGGTGCACTCTTTTCACAACGTTGACATCAGCAAACCGCTCGCCCACATGACGCCATACACACTGACTACCATCTGCCCAGTACAGTTGAAACCGGGATTAATCCGTGAAGAACACGAAGACAGTGGGCATCGAAGGTGAGCATTTGCCCACTGAAGTCAGTTACGATGCCGAACTTCGGTCAGGTCAAGACCCTGGTGAGGACGACGAGCACGCAGATGAGCTTCCCTGAGACGGTTTCTGACAGTTTGTGCAGAAATTATTCGATTGTGCAAACCCACAGTTTCATCAGCTGTCCAGGTGGCTGGGCTCAAACGATCCCGCAGGGGAATAAGATGGATGTGGAGGTCCTGGGCTGGCGTGGTTACACATGGTCTACTGTTGTGAGGCCGGTTGGACGTACTGCCAAATTCTCTAAAATGACGTTGGAGACGGCTTATGGTAGAGAAATTAACATTCAATTCTCTGGCAACAGCTCTGGTGGACATTCCTGCAGAAAGCATGCCAATTGCATGCTCCCTCAAAACTTGAGACATCTGTGGCATTGTGTTGTGTGACAAAACTACACATTTTAGTGGCCTTTTATTGTCCCCAGCACAAGGTGCACCTGTGTAATGAGCATGCTGTTTAGTCAGCCTCTTGATATGCCACACCTGTCAGGTGGATGGATTATCTTGGCAAAGGATGGGACCAACACTTTACATGTTGCGTTTTATATTTTTCTTCAGTGTAACATTACATTTACATTTTACATTTTAGTTATTTAGCAGACGCTCTTATCCAGAGCGACTTACAGGAGCAATTAGGGTTAAGTGCCTTGCTCAAGGGCACATCGACAGATTTTTCACCTAGTCGGCTCGGGGATTAGAACCAGCGACCTTTCGGTTACTGGCACTACGCTCTTAACCACTAAGCTACTTGCCGCCCCGGCAAGTAGCATCAGACCTTGGAGATGGAAACATATGCAAGGAAACATTATTTCCCATATAAATTCACATACAGTGTTACATTGAAAAGAAATAGACTTTGTGTATAATGTGAAACAGTGTTCTATTGAATCTGCCACTCTGTGTTCTGTACTCAGGTTCCCCAGTTGAGTGCAGACACGTTCAGCTGTGTGTCTGAAGACCCTCAGCCTGATGGCTCTCATCTGTCTGCGCATCGGCAGGGAGACGGTGCAGCGACACATGGTAGAAACCTTGAAACGCTTCTTCACCATCTTCTCCCTGCTGCAGTGCCTACAGGGACAGGTAAACACTGGCCTTACTAGAAGGCAGGCATTCTGACACTGTATATATTAAACGCAAAAACTTTTAAGTGAAGTTAGGCTGGTTAAAAGCCAGGAAATTCAAATATATCCGTTTTGATATGTGAGCTCAATCTTTTGACATATGTTAAGTGGTGAGACTTTTTTATTATTTAATTCCATTGTGTGGCGCAGATGGAGAGCGCCCCCCCGCAGGGAGGTGGGAGAATGCACCCTGCTGGATGTATGTACGCTGGAGGGGTCAGAGGTGACGTGTGAGCTGGGGGTTCTGGAGGAGCTGCAGGCCGTGTTTAACCCTGAGATGGCATACGCCTCCTACATCCCCTTCTACTGCCTCATAGGTGAGACACACACACACACACACACACACACACACACACACACACACACACACACACACACACACACACACACACAGACAGACAGGTAGGCACACACACAGACAGGCAGACACACACACACAAACACACACAGACAGGCAGACACACACACACACACACACACAGAGAGACAGGTAGCCACACACACACACACACACACACACACAGACAGGTAGACACACATACACAAACACACACACACACACACACACACACAGGCAGGCAGACACACACAGGCAGGTAGACACACACACAGACAGGTAGACACACACACAGACAGGCAGACACACACACACACACACACACACAGACAGGCAGACACACACACAGAGACAGGCAGACACACACACACACACACACAGACAGGCAGACACACACACACACACAGACAGACAGGTAGACCCACACAAACCATTTTATAAATGCATACAATCCATCTTAAAAACTGAATTCTATATGTTCCTTATATGTCCTTGATGGTTCTCAAAGCATTGTGTCCTCTAGCCCTCTCAGGTGATGTAGCGATCCGTAAGCTGGTTTCCAACCACGAGCTGGTCTGGAGGTGAGCCCTGGCAGTCCTGATGCCAACCCCCCAGCAGGGTCCAAGGACAGGGTAGAGATGCCCCCCACCACCTCCTCCATTGGCCCCTCCCCTGGTCTGGGACGCCATGTGGGCCGCAGCCCCTTCCCTGCCCACTACAACTCCTCCACACCCCTGGGCTCAGACACCCTCCCAGAGTCAGGCACCTTTGGCAGTCATCTGGAGGGAAACCGCATCCAAGTAGCCCGGGACTCTGAGCTGGGGGGTGGGAGCCCCAACCTGGGCTTGTTAGACAACTGGGGCCACCCCCGGCCTAGTCATACTCAGCCTGTCATCTCGTCTGCCTCCACCTTCACCACTCCATCCCTGGGCCCCTCCTCCTTCTCCTCCTCCTCCTGGGTGGTGGGTCCTACCCCCGAGGACAGCGCTCTGAAACAGGAGCTCCCTCGCAGCGGCCGCTCCCTGCAGGGCAACTGGCTGGCCTACTGGCAGTACGAGATCGGTCTCAACCAGCAGGATCCCCACTTCCACTTCCACCAGATGGGTGGGCCATTCGGGCACGGCTAAGTGTTTGGCGCCGCTTGCTGGGGAGGACTACTTCCTGTCTGGCAGCAAGGACAAGACTGTGAAGCTGTGGTCCCTCTATAACCACGGCGACAGGATGCGGGATGTGGAGCCAAGGCTGACCTACACGGACCATAAGAAGTCTGTGTTCTATGTTGGCCAACTGGAGTCGCTGCAGGAGGTAGTCAGCTGTGACGGCACCGTGCACCTCTGGGACCAGTTCACAGGTCAGTGGGGAGGAGACGTGTTGAGTTGACTCTCTGCTTCTGTTCTGTTAGAGTACACACAATGTTTTTCATTTAACTGAGTGATTTTATTTTAATTCCACTACATATTTCATTAGAATTAATAATAAGACGTTAGGTAAATAAAAAAGCTTCCGAACATACGTATTGGGAAATAAAGCTCTCCTCTTCATGTGTGTGTCCAGGTAAACAGATCCGCTCCTATGAGGCCCTGGATGGGAAGAACCCCATCACAGCAGTGACCACCATGCCTGGCAGTGCAGACTCTGTCCTCCGCTTCATTGACCCACGCAAACCAGGGCTGCAGGTACCTACCAAACCCATGTAGAGGAGAACTACCCTGCTCACTCCCCTGTTTAGTCTCCATCCTTTTTATGTTAATCTAGTGGTCTGGTCAAAAGTAGTGCACTATATAGGGGATAGGGTGCCATTTGGGACGGTACCATGATTTTCTGCCTTATTATCCCATGTTATTCATCAGTATAATGGAATAGAATAGCTTTTTCCTATTGCTTTTTCTCTGCCTATTCTTGGCCTGCCTGACATGCCAGAGACAATGTTCTTCCCATAAATATAGAACATAAATATAATTTTTATACTTACAGTTGAAGTCGGAAGTTTACATACACTTAGGTTGGTGTAATTAAAACTTGTTTTTCAACCGCTCCACAAATTTCTTGTTAACAAACTATAGTTTTGGCAAGTCAGTTAGGACATCTACTTGGTGCATGACACAAGTAATTTTTCCAACAATTGTTTACAGACAGATTATTTCATTTATAATTCACTGTATCACAATTCCGGTGGGTCAGAAGTTTACATACACTAAGTTGACTGTGCCTTTAAACAGCTTGGAAAATTCCAGAAAATTATGTCATGGCTTTATAAGCTTCTGATAGGCTAATTGACATTATTTGAGTCAATTGGAGGTGTACCTGTGGACAGTGGCGGCTCCTGAAAAAATTCTCAGGGGGGGCAATTTTTCTGATGATTTAGGTGACCTACACACATTTTTTAAAAGATATGTCCAGCAACAACATGAAGACAGGGGCAGCATATAAGTCAATACCAGAAGCATTTATTGACTGATCTCAAAAGTGTTGGCTTACAAAATCAAAATAAGTTATCACAGTAAAAATAATCAAGGGTGTTCTTTCACATTCCTCAACACTGCATAAACAATATGCATTTCCATAAACAAATGAAATATCAGCTTAAAATACAGCATCTTGGTATTTGTTCAGATTGCAGGATCAACAAGAGCTTTTACCACATTTTTTGCCTCATGGTTGAATTGGAAATATGTGCACCTGAGCATAATTCACAACAAGCAAGCAGGAGCTTTTGATAGAGGCTACTGAAAACATTGATGCAAGTTATTGGTAATAAGACATTTTTATAGACTTCCATATTCTGCCCTCTTGTATAGATTTGTGAAAATGAACAGTGATAGACATTTTGCTTGAAAACAGAATTTTAAAGTAATTTCTAGAAAAGGTAAACACAGCTATCTGTATGGCTTTGTAAAAATGAACAACCATATTCTGGCCAATTGTATAGATTTGTAAATATGAACAACCATATTCTGGCCAATTGTATAGATTTGTAAAAATGAACATGAACAGATATTTTTTTTTGTTTTACTTTTTTTTTAATGAAAAATAACTATTTTAAACAACATCAACTGTGAACTGATTTGGGCGTGTGTGTGTTAAAGAGACAGGGAGGGAGGGACAAAGAGAGAGAGAGGCTACATTACTTGTACTGAAACTGTTCTCTTCTCTGTTTCAATACAGCAAAGCGTTCAATGACTTTCTCATTGAAATCAGGCATGCTGAGGACTAGTTCCCTCTCCATGGAAAGCATGGCCAGTGCATTCAGACGTTCCTGGCCCATTGAATTTCGCAGGAATGTCTTAACTCGTGTCAAAGTTGAGAAACATATCTCAGCTTCAGCTGTTGTCATGGGAGTAGTTATGAGGATGTTCAACAGAGTCACAGTCTCAGAGAACGTCTCCTGGAGGTTGTAGCTCATGAGAACCTGGTACAGTGCCAGTGCACCACAGCCTCCCTTGAATTCAGGATTCTCATAGATCAGAGATAGTTCTGTCTTGAGCTTTGCCTTGCTCAGCATGGGGTATGCATTCACAGTGGCATTCAGAGCCTCATCAGGAAATGAATGGCAGTACCTTTCAAACATGTCTGCTTGCAGTAAGGTAGCACTCACAAGGTGGCCAGAGAAAGAGAACCTTTCTTTGATGTGATCCAGGATGGTGTTGCAGACCTCTTCAGACAGCCTCTGCTTCTCCTCTTCTCTCAAAGCTGTTCTGGGTCTTTTGGCTCCTGTTGCTTCTTGCAGCTGCTGTTGAGAGGAGTCCCTGAAGGCAAACAGACCAATGTGTTTGTTGGCTTTGTACAGTATTGTTGTCTATGTGATGCACAGGTATATGCAATGTATCCATGATGTATAGTACAAATACTTCAGTTCCACTTAAAATGGGCAGGGATGCATAAAGTCTTTAGTGTTTAAGTTAGCCTTTGTGTCTCACATAGCCTGGATGTTCAGCACAGTATACAGTGGTGCTCATAAGCTTATGATCCCATGCTAAAGTTGACTAAAAAGAGGAATAAAAAAGAAAAGAAAATTGGTGTCCATAAAGGTTGGATTTTCCAACTTTTTTAATTAAGTCATTAAGATAAATTTCCAAAAGATTATTTTTTTATTTTTTTATTCCTCTTTTTAGTCAACTTTAGAATGTGTTCATACACTTATGAGCACCACTGCACAGTACACATAGTATATAAAATAAAATAGATTACACCACTGGCCATATATAATGAGAATAATGTAATTTCAAACACAAATGCAGTCTCCTTTCATGCATACATTTTCAAATAAAGCTCTGCTTTGAGAAAGATCGAATGATATTGTTTAATCTTACCTTATGGCCTGCACACTGCTTGTGAAGCTGTCGAGGGCACTTTTGATAAAGACAGCATCGATGTCCTTCTTCTGTAGCTTCTGGTACAGAATGTCGACGTGGGGCATGATTTTGTGAAAAAGCCGCAGGAAAAAAATAAAATCTTCATCATGCAGCATCCTCACGTAGCCAGATGCCTCTCTCACTGTGCCCTGGTCAAATGAACCCAATGAACCCGTCCGGATGGCTTCAAAACATTCTATTAGGTCGTCTCGATTCTCGTAGACAGTGTTCACGACTCTGCTGTTGAAGTTCCACCGTGTGGATGAAGGTCTGGGCAGTCTTCGTGCAACAGTCTGGTCAAGAATGCTGGTGCGTTTGGGTGACCGGGAAAAAAAAGTTGTAATCCCGCTCAGATCGGAAAAGAAAATGTTCACTTTTTTGATGCGAGAAGTAGCTTGCTGCATGATCAAATTCAGCTGATGCGCATAGCAATGCACGTAATGGGCATTCTTGAAATGCTCACGCACCTTTTTCTGCACACCAGCCTTCTCTCCCCTCATCACACTGGCTCCATCGTAAGCTTGCGCAATGAGTTTGACTTTCTCGTCATCGGCAAAAAGACCGTTCAGTCTCTCCAAAAGTACACTGGCGATTGAGACTGAGGTTGATTCCGAGATGGGAAGGAACTCAAAAAATCGCTCCTGCACTTTGTGCTTGCTATCTATGTACCTCAGCACAAGCACCAACTGTGTCTGTGTAGAAACGTCCGTGGTCTCGTCAGCTTGGATAGCTACGAAGTTCGCAGACTTCACCTCCTCCACAATATGTTCCCTCGTGACCGCTAGCATACACTCCAGTAGCTCGTTTTGAATGGTCTTTGATGTGCCCTTGAAAACTTTAGCATTTTTAAGATGGTCATCAAACACCTCATCTAATTGTGCCACAAAGTTGACAAGTCCAAGAAAAATACCAGGGTTGGTGGAGCCCTCAGTTTCATCTTTGCCTCGCAAAGCTAACTCAAACACGCCGCAAAACTTCACACACTGGATTAGCCGGCTGAGGATATGGCGGTTCTTGCTAACCTCATCGTTGTGGCGGCGGACAGCTAGCCTGTATCCCTCATCCAGTTGAGTGGCAATATTCACTCTCCCCAAAGCAGAAATTCTCAAACAGCTATCCATGTGGGTCTTTGACAGCTCATGTTTCTTAATCTTTTCTGAAAGATGGTGCATGTCGGTTACACCAGTCGCTGTCCAAGCGGTGTTGTCTGCCGTGCCGCCTTCAGGGTGAATGAGTAAGCAGGGGTAGCAGAAAACTGCATTAGCTACATCGCAGCCTGCTAGCCAGGTTTTTCGTTCATACCAATTTTTGGAAAATCCTCGGGTGTAGGACTTCCCCCCTTTAGTAGAAACCTGTTGAATTATTAAATTTGGTCTGGGAGGTCCTAATTGTTTCGTTGCCAATTTATCTTCATTTGTTCGCCGACAAAAAGGAAATTCTTTCAAAGACACAACCGAGTTGCACTGAAGCCTAGCCATGTTGATAGTAGTAGTGAATTGATTGACGCTGCTACCCTCTCTTTTCTTAGTTACGTTCATGTGACGAAAGCGCGTAAGTGCAAGCCCACAGACACCCATTGAGATTGTATTGAAGGCTCTGAAATTTGAAAAAAATAGATTTTACATGGGAGTCTATGACAGAAGTTCTGGGCGATTTTCAATCTGACTGAAATCGCCCCAAAAGGGGGTGGAGCCATTTGAAGCACGACTTTAGCCTGATTCGACATTTAGTGGCAGTGTGGCACTGTGGCAGATCAGACGTATAGATTACAACAC